CACTATGTTTGCTCTTATTCAAGCTCTTTTTTCGTCCACTCACTACCTAACGACAATGACGCGTTCCCTTCCAGTTTTTTATTACTTGTTTGTTAGTTTGGTAATTTTTTTTCGATACTTGTCGTTTTTTTGTCATCTTCTGCCCGATTTTTTAGTGTGCTTTTAAAGTCAGACTTAATGTTTTTTAAAAGGTAGTTTTTTTGAAATCACTGGCAATTTTTTACAATTACGCTGATTTTAGTTCCTTTATTTTGAATTTAGTCTGTGTATTGTTTATGTTTCTTGGCATGGGCAGTAGTGTGCTACTTTTTCGCTCTTGTCGAATATGCACCTTTTCCCATTTATTTCGAGTCCTCGTTTGTATAGAATTCCTTACTTTACATATTAAAGTTTTTTTTGTTTGTTACTTTAGGCAAAACCTGTCCCTTGTATGCAAGCTTGGTGATAGGCCGGCCGAAGGTCGCGCCTATGGTAACCTTGGTAACACGCATTATCTTTTGGGAAATTTTCGAGAGGCCGTCGAATTTCACAAGAAAGTGAGTCATTTATCGCGCAGACGTGTTTTTTGGTTATGAGCGCAGCAATTTCTAAAAACGTGCACTGTTTTCTGTTGCCGAAGTTCATTTTTCTTGATGGTACGTGCAGCCTAATGGCATTCTAACGTGTCTGCTCTTCGGTGTATGAGTTTTGACATTTACAACATTCTTTTCAGCGCCTGCAAATAGCTAAGGAGTTCGGTGATCTGCGCGCTCAGAGACGTGCCTATAGCAACCTTGGCAATGCCTATATCTTCCTGGCGGATTTTACTTCAGCGGCTCGGAGCTATAAGTGATTTCATCTGTCGTTAAAAATTTTGCCTACTTACAAATTTGTCAGTAAAAGTTATATACCGTTTTAGACACGCTCTGGGTATAGCACGGCAATTAGGCGATGAAACACTGCAAGCCCAGGCCTGTTTTAGCCTTGGACACAGTTGTACCCTATTGAGGGACTACTCAGCTGCTGTAGTGTACTACCTGCGTCATCTCCACGTGGCTTGGGAGGCAGGAGATAGGTTGGGACAAGGTCGTTGCCACTGGTCTTTGGCGAATGTTTACGCGGCATTAGGTGACTACCAGCGGGCTTTGCGGAGCTCCATGCGGCATCGAAAAATCTCCAAGGAGGTGAAACTTGATTGTCTTAGCCAAAGTTGTAGCATTTTCAAAGTTGAGAAGATATCTCTTTGATTATAGCTTAACGACGAGATTGGTCTTCTGGCCGCTGATTTGATGATCACCGAACTTCACCGAATTCTTGGACATAGCAGACCCGACCCTCAGCTTGAAGAAACTCCACCTTCATCTCCATCCCTCATCAACACCGATTCTTCCCACCTCCAAGCCGCCGCTGAAGCGCGAGCTCTGGAACAGGTTCTCCTCTTTGATGCGGATAGCTGTGGACAGGGTCATGTACTCACTGTCTCGCCCTCCACTACAGTCACCGTCGCTCCTGGAAATCCTCCTATCGAGTCGTCGGACCTGACAAAAGGGGAGACGACAAAGGTGGATGTGGAGGAGCTGAGCGAAAAGGAATTAGTGACGGAGCTCTCCCTCGCAACCAATGCGGCTTTGGCGGTCCGACGTAGACACGGAAGCGATAGTGGTGGAGGAGGAGGGGGAGGAGGAGGTGAAGGCGATTTTTTGTCACTAAGTGAGGAGGAGGATGAGGACTTTGTGGTTGTAATCTCACCTACCGAGGCAGAGAGTAGCGGGGACCAATATCATCGATCCGGCGGCGAATGTGAGTTGGAACTATTACATCTGCTTTTTATTATTTCATTTTCGGTTTGAAGTGTTTTAAAGTATTGAAAACTCGAGAATCTATCGAGATTAAAAATTATTTCAAACTAACTAATCGATCTGCTTTCAGTCTTTCACCTTTAAGAATTTCATCTCCAAAGGTTTACGCAATGTTTTCGTACTTTCATTTATAGGACTAATATCTGTCCCTTGTTCATATTTATTAATGAAACTCGATATCACCTTTTCAATCAGTGTTTTCAAGAAATCTTCATCTTACATAATGTATGCATACAGTGCATGCATTTAATTTGGTCTGAAATGATTTTGTTTGTAGAGGAATCGTCTCAAATTCTATCTGGAAAGTGCATATTTTAGTGATAAGCGTTGCAACTTTATACCGTTGAAAGTTTATCTTCATTTATGTTGACGCCTTGGTTTACATAATTGATCGCTGGTGCTGTGGATTGGCAGGATTTCGTGATCGGTATATTCACTTTTTAAGCCGTCGGTGGGGCCCTGCACCGGGCCACCAGCCCGTCCAATCACACTGCGGACCAATCTGACTCAAGCGAACTGCTATTTGACCTACTCTTCAAATCCCAAGCCTTACGGATGAACGATCAGCGCTGTGATTTGAATGCTGCTACCGGCGTCAGTGTTATCAACAATAACAACAATAGTGGTGGCGACAATATTGGTAGTGATGGTGACGGTGTGCTGGCAGCGTCGGGTGACTCTCTGAATATGGAAAACGACTCCTTTTTGGATCTTCT